CAGGATACATGATGATCAATCATTTGTGTGCTGTGCTGTTTCAAATTGCAGGCCTGGACCCTCACTTGGGTAACCTCGCTTGGGCTGATGCGTTTATAATCACTGCAGATTCTGTCAGCATGATCAGTGAAGCCTGCTCCACAGGGTAAGTGTTGTGTTACATATATGTTGGATTACATGTGGGCAGTATATGTTGATTGGGGTGCAGATATGTTGCATGTACTGCCCTGAGTTCTTGCTCTTACCCTCCGTCAATTGCTCAGATTCCCGCACTCGTATTTCATTGCTTTCACTCTCGTGACATTGGTCCACTCATGTGTTATGGCAGCAAGCCAGTGTACGTGGTGGGTGGGGAGCAGTGCAAGTGGAAGATTGCCGAGTTTCACCGAACCCTCCAGCGGAGAGGAGCCATTCGGCCTTTCAACAACTCTGTCAATGTCAGTTTCACACTATCCATGTCATTGGATGTTCTGTTAGATGCCAGCTCATGCCCTGCCAGCCAGTGTGTGTTCACCCTCGGTCGCTGTCAGTTTCCTAGGCTCATTCTCATTCTCCTCCTTACGGTACCTCTTGTCCCAACCCACCTCCTTGTCACGTGTAACAGCTTGCAAGCACGTGGAGCTACCCACCGTTGACAGACAATGTAGACGTAGCGGCACGTGTCCGCGCGGAAGTGGCCAAACGTGGATGGGTCTTGCACCACCCATAACACTTAGGATGTATTTCGTAATACATGTGTTGGATGATGCAGCCTATATGCGATTGTGCTCTACAAGTTGCTATGTATCGTGTTTGTATGCTGGTTATTGGTAACAAAAATTGAGTTAAAGATAGTAAAAGCAACAAAGAAGTGAAGCCATGAAGATTAACTTCGTCATGGAAGCATTCACACATTTTGAATGTGCAATTCTGGTATATGACTCCAAAAAGCATTGCAACATCAAGTTTGTTCTTCAATTATGTTATGGGTGCAATGGAACGAGATAGCTAGGATTGCACTAGGTGTCAAACGAGTACAAGGTATGAGCGAAGGCATGGGCGAATAGTTATATGCGAAACATGCAAACGGTAATGCGGTGCGTGCGAGCTGGCTAGTGCTAGGCTGGCATCGAGGTTCGGGCTAGCCCGGAAGCGTAGGCCGACTCGGCCGGGCCAGCGGTGCATGGTTTGGTAAAACAGTGCGCGCAAAATTAGCGAGGCTCCGTTAGCATTAACGGGCGAACAACGGCTGCTGCTGTACGTGATGTTGATGGTTGCGATAAGGAACAGAGAAAATTCCTTACAATAAAATCAGAATGAGGTATCTGTTTCTGCAAGCACCCACTTTGAAATTGCCGCGCGTCAGAAATTCAAATTCGGATGGCCCGGCGGGAAACGCGTTTCTGACGCAGCACATGAACGCCAGAAGTGCTAATTGAGCGAGTCGCCTCGCCATGTGTGGGGCCAGTCAGGTCAGCTTCTCATCCATTCAGCAAACCGCACAGATACAGCGCAAATCAGCCCAATCCTATTTCAATTCATCAAATCGAAACGAACCACTTTATACCTGTCACTTACCCTTCTGCCATTCCTCACCAGTCATAATCTCGGGGCTTTTCCTTCCTGCTGGGTGATCCTCTCTTGGGTGACCCTGGGACCTGGACTGACCTCCGCTCTCCCCATTGCTCTGGTCTGGTCTCCTGAGACGTTTTTTTTCCTTGTGGGTTCAGAGTTCCCTGAATCCCCATTGCTCTAGTCACCGGCCTTTTGACACTCCCTCCTCCCCTGAAATTATCCTGTTACTCTTTGAGACGCATATAGCTTCCTGAGACCCGAGCGTGGCTGCTGACTAGATCCCCCACGTAGCTACTGCTGTTTCTAGCTTCTATTTATTACTCATACAGCTGAAACGCGTACTGCTTGTGACAGGCTGTCTAACTCTCATTTGCTCATCCCTAGCCGAGTCTTGTAGTAAAGAAGCAACTTGCTGTTAGACCAGCAGCTTATCGTTCCATTTTAGGCCATAAGGGCTCTCTCGAAGTAGGACTCACTTAGCCTTTGCTGGAAACCTCTAGTTTCTGTTACAGCTGGTGTATCTGAACTGGCGCTCGCGTTTTTGATACTAGCTCTCGCGGTCCTGCACTCATTGGTGATAAGAGTACTTGTTAATTTATTTTCGGTGCTGAAGCCACAGCTTCCGAAGAAAGCTCCATCGATGGACAAGGCAGTCAGTCCGACCTTTCCGAAGGAGGGTACTGCAATGGAGGTTGAAGAAAAGCCGAAGCAATATATTGACCCAACATACGAGTTTGTGCAGGCTCCCAAGTATTTTGATTTCGTCAATGGTGATATGGAGGATGCCTCGGCTGATGAATGGTTCCGATCGACACCAGGACATCCAAAGTCTCGTGAGTAGCCTCTATACACTTTCCAAATGATGTTATGCTCATTGGGTTTTTATTTAGATTAGTTTCCCTTTTCAAAAGTTGGTTCAACGGAATCGTTGCTGTTTCTACTTCCAGCACTGGTTGTGAAGGCCATGGCTTCTGGTCAACGCATGATGCCGAAGGAGGCGATACCGCTTCTTAGCGCTATTAAGGTATGTTTTCGTTAAGGGAGCCATACGGCTTTTGTTTTTAATTTTGGAGCATTTCTGCATAGAATCTTCAAACTGACGGACGACTTCTCATGGATTCGCAGATTCCTGAACCAACTCCTCGTCCTACGCGGTTTATGACGAAGTCTGACGGTCCACAAAGGTGGTTACTGAAACCGTTTTTGGTACTTCTCAATCTGATTGATCTTGTGTGTTAGTACAGGTACTGATGTTCTTGTTGTTACCTTAAACTGTTCGGGATTTACAGAGTCAAGTGCGATGACGTCGCTACCATGGATGGTGCTGGAGAGAACGCGGGGAATGACGGCGAAAACGGCGGAGCAGTGAAGGAGGATGAGGAGGATAAGCAGTGGACCGACGTGGATTTGAAGGAAGAAGGAGATGCGATCCAGCATGAAGGATCCGCCAGTGAAATTCCGTTGAACGATGAAATTTCAGGGGATGCTGAGGGGTTAGAGCTTCACACAGCAGGCGTGAATGTCGCTGCAGCAGAGGCTGGATCGGACGCTCCAGCAGCAGGACAAGGGCCGGAAGTGGAGGTTCAGTCTGTAATGGAGCAAGACGAACAAGGTCCGGCTGGCCGTTCCATTTTTTAGAACTCGTGAAATATCTATGAATTCTTGTAAAGTTACCAGAGATTTTGTAATGACCTTCTGTGATTGTGTCCGTTTGCAGGCTGCAAGGCTGGATCGTCCGGCGCGAGGATTCACGGCATGCAGACCAGAGCAATGGCGTCGGCCTCGCACGCGGGAAATAGCAACCCTTTGCCTCCTCTCAGTGGTTCTGCGGGTAAAAGGAGCCGCGAGGAAGAGGAAACGGACGAAATGATCACGGCTGTTTTCCCCCCGGTCGAGGAGACGTCTCCAGAGAGTGGTGGATTTCCAAAGAAGAAGCTGTGGGATCAGCTGAGGAGCATGCGAATCAGCACGCCCCACTCGACCCGCGCGAAATCCAGGGTCTCGAAGGTCCACAGTGCGCGAAAGGCTGGTGCTTCTGGTGATCAGAGTGAGGTGCCTGGCCGAGCTGATGGTGTGATGCGTGGTGCTGATGATACGCATGAAGCTGCTGCTGATGCGTGTGATGGTCGAGGCGATGCTGCTGCTGGCTCAGCTGCTGAAGCAGCTGATGCGAGTGGAAAGCCAGCTGGCGCTGCTAATGCCTCGGTTATTGTCGCCGCTTTCATCGTCGGTGCTGCTGAAGCCACTGCCGCAGCATCTGAGGCGGTTACCTTCAATTCTGCCGCTCCTTCTGCTGCTGCTCCTGCTGCTCCTGCGGCTGCTACCACCCGTCGTGCTACTGACCCGACATCCACCCGTGCGTCGCTCCGACGAACCTCTGCCAGGCTCAAAGCAAGAGGAGGAGCCCCCCCTTCAGGGTATGTGCGTTGGATTGACCCCTGTAGGATTGATTACCTGCTGAGTGGCCAGTGTTTCTATCCTGTTGCCGTCTTCCGTCTCTCACATCCATGTACGGATTCGAAGGTGCTGACGGTTTCGTCTGTCATCTGTTTGGCAAACACTGTTTGCAGAGCTGCTCGGCCGTCTCTCATGGCAGCGACGGCAGCTTCCGCTGCCAGAAGTGCGGCCACCAGCGGATCGAAGGCGAGGCCACGCGAGAATAAGAGGCAGAAGGTCGACAGGACCCCACAGCAATGGAAGGTAATTCACAATTGTGCATGGTTTCGTTTCACTCTCAAACAAATCTTGCTGATCCATCCAATGCTTATATTTTGCTCCCAACATGAATCGGAATCTGACGTTAGGACTTGATGGTGGTTTGAAAGTTGTCTTTAAATTTTTTGGGCCCTAGCTCGTGTCTAACTTGACTTATACACCACAACCCCTCTGGTCGTGCGCTTACAGGCACCTACCAGCAGTCGCCCTACAGGGCTTACAGTTCCGCAGCCGTTCAATCTCAGAACGGACGTCAGAATCCGCCCAGGAGACGTGAAGCTTAAAAACGAGGTGCGCCACTTCCAAATGTATTGCTTCTTTCTTTCGAAACGGGCACAAATGTTGTTGATCCATACATGCACTCAGGGTAGCATTAAGAAAATCCTGCTTCTTGCCTCTCCAATTCAGCAACCAACCTTCCACGTTATTACGTTTGACGTTGCCATTGTCCTGGTCGCAGGCACAGCCCTTCGTCTCCCTCGCCCAAAGCGTGCAAGCCTTTGCTCGCTCGAGCCGATCTTCAGATGCAGAGGTACGCAACCACAACGCAGTCTGCTGGAGCTGGTTTTATCAATTCAGCCTCATAACTCCATTATTCCTATCGTTCGGTCAGGCTCCATAGAGTTTCTCTCACGGTCAGCTCCACCTCCCAATCTCATGACGCTCTCTGGGGTTTTTATTTCTCGATTCCGCTGCTGCCTCTGATCCTTCCTCCCAGGCTGGTGCTGCGCATGGGAGTCGCCCGGGGGTATCAGCGGTTCCTGCAGCAGCAGAGCCTCATCTCACGGTGCCCCAGCCATTCGTCTTCAACACGGAGAAGAGGCGTGGGTCTCAGAATGAGAAGACGAAGGAGGTGGGGTGACGATGATAGACTTTTATGGATGAGCGTGCGAAGCCTTGAAACAGATGGACGCCTTTTATTGCAAGCCGAAGAAGAAGCCAGTCTTGCTGCTTCTGGTTCCCCTTGTCTTATCGCTTCTCGTTCGGTAACATCTCATGAAGGTACTGGCGTGTCCGTGTTGCGTGATGTGCAGGCGAAACCGTTTGTGTCCCTTGCTCAGAGCGTCAGCATGTTCGGCATCAGGGGCAACCGATCATCAGAGGTCGAGTCAGGTTCACACGATGGCGGGTCCACACACGAGCTTGGCCTGACCATTCCTGAACCGTTTGACTTCAAGACAAACAGGCGGCAGCGACCGAAAGACGAGCAGCTGAAGAAGGAAGCGAAGCCGTTTGTGTCACTCGCTCAGAGCGTCAGCATGTTTGGCGCCAGGAGCGATCACCGATCGTCAGAGACGGAGCACAAAGCACACGAGAGTGGACCTTCCCACGGGGCTACTCTTACCGTACCTGAGCCGTTTGACTTCAAGACTGACAGGCGCTTGCGACCAAAGGACGAGCAGCTTAAAAAGGAAGCGAAGCCTTTTGTCTCGCTTGCTGAGAGTGTCAGCATGTTTGGCGCCAGGAGCAGCCGGTCATCTGAGACCGAGTCCCACGCACATGAGGGCGGGCCTTCCAACGGGGCTACTCTAACCATTCCTGAACCATTCGATCTGAAGACAGACAGGCGCCAGCGACCCAAGGACGAGCGGCTGAAGAAGGAAGCGAAGCCATTTGTGTCCCTCGCCCTGGAGCTCAGCTCGTTCTCCGCACACATGAGGCCGGAAGGCGAGGCTCCTACTGCCGCCTCTGCTGCTGCTTCCGATGCTCCCCGTGTGACCAAGCCTGTGACGCCGAAGCTGCTGACGGCCCAGAGGGAGCGGCCGAGGAGGTTCCGGGTGCTGCAGGAAGGGGAAGCTGCTGGCACTGGGGTGATGACCCGGTCTGCATCAAAGAGGGGCGCGACAGCTACTGCCGCTGGTGGTGCTGGTGGTGGTGCTGGTGGTGTGGCTGGTCCAAGGCTTCCCACGGTACCTTGCTCGCCCATGCTGACCACCAAGCTGCGAGCACGAGCAGCAAAGTAAGCCGCGCGCCACAACCAACGAATCGACAGGCTGCTCGTGTGGTAGGCTTGTTTTCTTCGTAGCTTTCTTCTGGATTGCCATTTGATGGTCTTCTTTCTGGTGTGTGCTTCTTCCAGGGTGAAGAGCAGCGAGGAGAGGGAGCTGGAGGAGATGGCGAGCACGGCTAAGCGCATGCATACCAGCAAGCACGGCAGCTCAGAGGTACTGTTGGACGTTCTCTCGTGCACTCTTGTGTTACTCACTCGGCCATTGTACCAACCCCCCTTGCGTCGAGTAGAGTCGACCTTCTATTCGTAAACCCAGATGCTGTTAGTTTGAGGCGCACCGAAATCATAGACGGATCCATTTGGTTCCTCCTTTACTCCTCTGCTTCAGGTGCCAACCGTCACTCATCCACGGGAGTTCCACCTGTTTACTGAGGTCAGTTCGCTGCTCCTATTCTTCCACTCTAGCACACTTCACGCATTATTGCCCAGAGTCTTTCCCCTTGTGCATGCCTCCCTGTTCAACCCTGGTTCTCATTACCAACATCCGACTGACCTGCTGCATGGTAACCCTGTTACATGTCCACATAACCACAGGAGCGTGGGCAAGCGAAGCAGCACAAGTTACAGCAGAAGCTGGCAGAAGAGGAGGAGGAGAGGCGCAGGGCAGCCATTCCCTTGGCAGCACCCATGCCATTCACCACCCTCGCCCCAGAGTTCCTCCGCAAGCCGCCAACTAAGCCAGCCACCGAGCCAGAGGAGTTTGAGCTAGAGTCGGTGAGGCGGCACCAGATGGCACAGCAGCGGCTGGAGGAGGAGGCGCAGAGGAAGGCGCAGGAGGAGGCTGCTCAGAAGGAGTTCCATGCACAGCCCCTGCCTGACATGACCAAGCGGTGAGTTCTGGCTGTCGAAACAGACACCACCAAACTCTGCTTGCCTGGCTCTAAGCTGTTTCTGGTCTCTGGAACCCGCGACCATGTTTTTGTGCAGATCTTCTGCTTGGCTGACTGACTTGCGTTATTATTGTACCTGCTTGCTGTTATTACATGTCCCGTCCTGGTTAGGAATGCTTGCTGCGATTGTCACAACTCAGTGTGGTTGTTGCGTCCCTCCCAGGCCTGAGTCCCCACGGCGCATTCGCGTGCTGACGGAGGTGAAGCCGTTCAACCTGAACGTGGACCGCCAGGCAGAACACCATACATGCGCCAAGAAAGCGGTACGTTGAGAAATTCATGCTGTTGCTACATCCTCAAACAACTGGTGCTCTCGCCATTTTCAGTTGCTGAGTTGCCATGACTAAGAGGCTCATTGTCTGTGTTTCTTTGTGATTTTTTACTTGGTTGATGTCTGGATGATTTTGAGTTAATACCGTGGTTGATGTCCGAGTCTCTTTGTATTTTTTCTCATTGTGTTGTTGCAGTTTGCTGAGAGGTGTCAGCAGGGTGAAGAGGAGTACGCCAAGATGCAAGCACGATGCAGGGTGAGTTTCCCTGCACGATCTCGCACACATTCTTGTTGTGGAACGATGCTTTGCTGACTCAACCTCGAGGCGCCTCAATGATAGAGTTTCTTGTTGCAACCATGCCTTGCTGACTTCTTGAGCATGCGCTGTGGGCCTTGCAGAAGGAGGAAGAGGAAGAAATCAAGAGGATGCGTAAGGGGATGGTTCACCACGCAGTTCCCAAGCCCTCCTACGGGGAACCATTTGTTCCAAAACGGTGAGATTGGCTTGATACCGCCAGCTCCAGGTCAAAAGTCCTGCTTTCACCTACAAGATCTTTCCACATTCTTGTTTTGCTCTTATTCAGATTCGTGGCTATCTCGTTCTTTGTCCTCTTCTCAGGTCAGGGAAGCCCTTGACTCAACCAGTGTCCCCTTGTCCAGGCTTAGAGGCTGTGCGAGCAAGTAGGTTGCAGCAGGAGGACATGTATTAACTGCGTGCTTAGAGCACGCCCGGGGATTTAAAACTTATGGTGTCTCTGTGTTGGTCCAACACCTCCTTACGTTGGTTGTAGCTTTGCCTCGGCTAACGGATTGTAGACCCTGGCACGATTCTCTGTGCCAGGTAGTGCAGTGTAATGTAGTCAGATATACTTGGGAATCTCGAATGTTGCCGTACATTTATTTCTGACGCTGCAGCAGTCGCAGAGTCTATGGTACCGTACCTCTGCATAGGGCTGTGTGGCATCATAGCCATATGATGCTGTATGTATGTTGCTCTGAATAACAGTTGCTGATCTTCCTGAGCGCCTTCTTCTGCCTAGAGTTGAGAGCCCCCAGCACGATGAGAATGCCAGAACAAGTGGATTCAATGTCGGAATGGAACCAATGAATTCAAAAGACACACCAGCGTTGGGAGAATGTAATACGGTAACAAGTAGCCCCAAGATCCATATGAGCACGCATTGGTTATTGTCGAAATACGGTAACAGATCTGAACAATAACACCCCTTAGGCTGCTTTGCATGTCATGCTAGACAGCTTCACATATCACACAGTATCTGCAGATTAGGCATAAAGAGCTACTACGGTACTACTCCCACTGCATGCGAGGGGGTGGGGGGTGGGGGGGGGGGGGGTCATGTTAATAGCCAGTATGGATGGACACCCGATGGGGAAAAATGGGCTCTAATATACACACTGCCAGAAGGCACACTACCTAAGGACCACACAGTACAGCAAAAATGCTAACGCTGATGGGATGCATCTGGGGTACCCGGTATGAAACCTATAAACAGCACGTGTTTCCTTGAGAACAGCAGACAGGTGTAGCAGATCTACTGCAGCAGTTAGCAGTGGGACAGCAGACCCCTCCACAGCACGTGTGATCCAACGTGCTCTCGCTCTGCATACAAAAGCATAGAGCATGAAACGAGATCAGTTGTGGTACGACATCTCCATTAGAAGAAGGATCAGCAATCTAAAGAGAAATAACCAATTCAAACAACTGTTGATTGAAGATAACGCGGAAATTAATCGCGAGGCATCAGCACTTACAACGCCACAGCAGGTTGTGTTTCCGCACACGCCCCAGCAAATCGCAGTGTCGCCGCTACCGCAGCACGTGGCTTCCGGAAGGCAGCACGGTCGCGAGTACGCGCCTCCGCCGGTCACCGTGAGGCACACGGGACAGCTAGCGCTCGCAGGAGCAGGCGCTGCCGCAGTGGAGGTGTTCGAAGGGATCGCTGGCGACGGGCAGGGTGTCGGTGCGACTGGTGCTGGTGACAGTGCTGGCGACGGTGCTGGCGACGATGCTGGCGACGGTGCTGGCGACGGTGCTGGCGACGATGCTGGCGACGGTGCTGGCGACGGCGACGGAGACGGCGACGGTGAGCACAAAACGGTCACTTCTAACGAGTCGTAGTTAGACGTCATGGTAGCAGAATCAGATCCGGTAGCAGCCTGCTGAGCAGCTTCCGCCGAAAGTTCTTGCGGGACGGACGGCGGATCTGAGTTCGGCAGCGAAGCTTCCTGTAGGTTTCGCGAGGAAAGCCATAGCCAATCCCTGTTGCTCGTAACGCCAGAAGGACGAAAGCTCGCGGAAACCGACGGCGTGACGGTGACGCCAACGAAACGCGCGTCCACGGAGAATGGATCTGAGCAAAGAGTGACGAGAAGCACGAGAGTGATGACGGCGACTGTCCGCTTAAAAACAGCCATGGCGTCGGATAGGGATTGCTGAAACAAAAGTGTTGTAGTAGAGACCAAGAAGCGGAGAGACAGAGAGAGTCTGGAGCAAGCGTTATTTCCACCGTCTGTGAGAACGAAGATGATTAGTCAACGACCGTCGTGGAGGATGGAGACCTAATGAGATTCGCGGAGCGAGAAGGATTCGTGCTGGTTGCGATTTGCGAGTCAATGAGGCGAAGAGTGAGAACGAAGACGGGAGCGACGATTGAGAAGGACCCGGGTGAAACGACCGCGCTTTATACTTGCTAGGATCCATCGAAAGGGCCTGTAAATCGCTTCGTCCTTTGAAGGCTTTGAGTCGCGCTTCGTCCATTGAGGGCGTTCCATCGAGTCGGGAGAATGCGATAGGGTTGGCCTTAGGCCTTTGGCGGCTCTCCTCCTGACACTCCTGAGCCTACGCCTAACGCTGTCTTGATCTCGTCGAACGAGAATAAACTTGCAGCGCGACTACGCCTATTTCTAGTCTGCAACCCGCCTTGATAATCCTGACTCAGAGAACTGCGGCTTTTCTGACGAAGTTTTCCCCCGCCACTCCCCAGCCCTGCCGAAATTCAGCCGCCTGACGAAGCTGCTTCTGCGCGAAACTCACGAGAGGCGGCGAAGCTAGACCCTCTGCGCGCATTAGTACTTTACGTGATGGCGAACTATCTCCATCTAGTTTCAAGGAGAAGTGTGTAACTAGAAAATCCGCGATGTTGCACTCCTCAGTGGAGTTCACAAGCAGTGCTGTGTAAAATCACGGCCACGAGACAGTATCAAAACCATCAGGGAGATTATTGAAATCATGGCAGCAGCCCTACAAAAACCAAGCAGGAGTCTACTCTACTCAGTCCAAAGTAATAAGTGGATGTCAAGAACCAGGCAGTAGAAGTCGCGGCAAACGAGAGCAATCACACCTTGACCATGGTACCGTACCACATACTGAAATTAGGAAACAACAAACTACCCGACTCGCAGAAATAAAAATTAAGCGGCAATCGCTTACAATTCTACAGAGTAACTTGAGGGCACACTCTCCACATGCCATGCTCTAGGGATTGACGAAACACCACACTGAATTCTGCACTACAGCTGAATTTCTATTGCACCAGCTCCAGCCAGCAGCGCCAGCCAATCAGCATCCGCCAATCAACACCACAACTGCTTGCCGGACCCGATACATCGAGTTTGACTGAGTCTGAGTCTCACTGCACCCATCCCTGCCCTCTCTCACTGCTTGCACCAGAAAATTCACCAGCAGCTGCGACCTCGTACCACCCAGCACATTCAAAGAAGAAACGAGAGTTTCTAAACGTCTCAAAACCCCCACAAATTCAGACAGAAGCGGCACTTTACCACTGTCACAAGGCAAAGCACAAGCACACAACCCATTAGAGACCCACTCTTCAGGACACGACGCGCCACCAAACACACAAACGCACACGACCGGTTTGAGCCCCACTCTTCACTGGGCCAAGCATTGAGTGCCAAGCTCCTGACACTTCCCTGTTATTCATACACCCCTTGAGACAACGATTGCTCCAGCTGCCGCTGTTGCTACTGCGTGCACAAGCTGCTGCTGCCGCCTGCATCAAAGCTGCTGCCAACTCCATTGCTACCCCCCGTGCTGGAGTCACACTGCCGCTTCTGCCTGCCACCTCTGCTACTGCCGGCTTGCTACTGCCACTCTGCCCTGGTGACTCTCAGTCGACTCAAAAGACCCTTAGAATGAGCTCAGAGATGCTACTACCACACTGCCGCTGCTGCCACCTCTGCAACTGCAACTCTGCCCTGGGCCCAGCAACCAAAAGCCTGCATGTGGCACTTCTGATGCGCGTTAACGCACAGCCCTACCTCCCTTCTCTTCCACTGCTACTGCTGCCACCTCTGCCCCTGCTACTCTGCCCTGGGCCCAGCAACCAAAAGCCTGCATGTGGCACTTCTGATGTGCCCCTGTCAAAACCCCCTGAGGTTTAGCGCCTTCCATACCCAGCCCCTTTTCCTGCAAGCATTAGTCCACACCCCTACTTCCACCAAGCGTTAACTCACAGCCCTACCTCCCCTCTCCTCCCCCCCCCCACCACCACAACCCTCTGCTCCCCCCCGTGGCCTCCAACTGCTTTTGAGTCGACTCGAAAGCTTGTCCAAAGCTTATCCAAGAGCTAACTCATAGCCTTACCTCCCCTCTCCTCCCCCCGCCCACCACCAGAACCCTCTGCTCCCCCCCGTGGCCTCCAACTGCCCCCACCCGCTGCTCCCCCTCCCCCCTCTCTCCCTCTCCCTCCCCTTCCTCCCTGCCACCTCCCACCCCCTCGGCTCTCCCCATACCCCCACCGCCCCCCTTGCCCCCTCCCTTGCCAATCCTGCGCTCCCCCTCTTCCCCCTCCGTACCCTCCCCCTCCCCTGCCTCCCCCTCCCCCTCCGCCCCCCCCTCCGCCTCCCCACGCCCCCGATCTACCGCCATAGCCCTGGCCTTCCGCCGCCGGACCTCTGCCCGCGGATTCCCTGTCTTGGCCGCCCCTCCCCCCGCGCCCAGAACCAACTGCTGCTGCCGCTGCTGCAGTTCCAGCTGCATTTGCTGGTGTGGCTGATGTTGCAGCAGCACCACCACCAGCACTGGCACCAGTACCAGGACCAGCAAGGCCACGGCCAGCTGACCCTCCTCGCCCGCTGCCATGCAAGCGGCTCCCTTGCTGCAGCGGGGTTGCAGCAGAGGAAGGGAGGGGCAGGATAGCAGCAGATGCTGCTACCGCTGCTGCAGCCGCTGCCGCCCCTGCTGATGTTATTCCTGGACCCACTGTTTTCACTACCCCTCCTGCTCCTCCTGCTCCTGCTGTTGCCCCTGCTCCTGCCCCTGGCCCTACAGCTATTCCAGTCACTCCTGCTGCTGCTCCTCCTACTGCTCCTGACGTGCTTCCTTGTATTAACGTAGCAGACGCAGCCCCTGCACTCGAGCCTGAGTACAGCGGCACGGATGGAGAGGCTCGGGTATTCATCCGAGCCTCACCAGCAGGTTCGGCGCCCGTTCCAGTCACCGACAACTGCCGCTGCTGCTGCTGCTGCCGTTGTTGCTCTGCTGTGCTTGCAGCAACGCTCACACCTGAAGCCACCCCTCCTACTGCCGAATTCCCCATGCCTGCCCCTACATGCCCTCCCACATCCATACCTAAAAGAGCTTCGGCCATCGATCCATCCAGGATCGGGGAAGGCGACGACGCTGGCACGCCAATCTGCCCGAACTGGAAAACGGGCAGCTGAGAGCCGGAATTGTTTTCATCCTGCCCGAGAGAGCCCATGCTGAAAGGAATGGGCATGGAGCCGATTTGGATCATATAAGGGGCCACTCCTGACTGTGCTACAGACGGGATTCCCTGTGAAGATGATGAAGCAGACACAAACGAGGATGACACAGACGGGTATGAGGACGAGCCAGACTCAAACGCGTCAACAGTATGCGCGGGGAGGGTTGGGGGAAGAGAGGGGGGAAGAGTTTGGGGGAGGGATGGGGCGAGCGCCTGGGGAAGGGACTGGGAAGGAGAGGACAGGCCCACAGAAGGGTCTGGGCCAATGGGGGACCGGGAAATAGGGGAAGAGGCAGTAGGAGCAATGGGAGCGAGAGAGGCAGCAGAGGATGAGGGGAGGTGCGGACTGGGGGAGGTGGATGGCGTTATTCCGCTGGTTCTGCCACTGGGCAAAGTCGCGGTGATTAATGACGTGGCAGCCTCGGTGACGTCCGCATCTGACGTGGCAGACGGAGATATTTTGGAAGCCGCTGCATTGGGTTGGTCCTGAGCGTCAACCTCGAGTTTCGAGGCGAGAAGCGCGCCAAGCTCGTCCACCACGTCTGCTGACGTGGCGTCTGATGAAGGTTTGACTTGCATCGACCCTGTAGATTGCTGCTGAGTCTGCTGTCCCCCCTCCTGCTGCTGCTCCGGCGCTTCTCCCTGTAACTTCTGTGCTTGCTGCTGCTGTTGCTGCTGCTGCTGCTGCTGCTGATTCTGATTTTGCTGTGGCGGTACTATACCCTGCTGCTGATGCTGCTGATGCTGCTGGTGTTGCTGGTGTTGCTGCTGCGGGTGCTGATGATGCCGCTGGTGCTGCTGAGAGTACCCCCCCTCCGGCCCTAACGGCCCCCTCCGCGCCTCCAGATGATCCCCTGGCGCCCCCCACCGCCTATCCCTTCCGCCCATGCCCCCATCCACGGCCCCCAGTCCGCCTTCCTCCCGCCCATAGTAATCCCCACCCTGGCCATCCCCCCTGCGCTCTTGATACTGCCTCCCCCCCAGCCCTGCGGGGCCCAGTCCCCCAGGCTCCCCCACCACCCCCACCGCGCGCCCCATCCCGCCCCCTCCCCCCGCAGCTGCGCCAACCGCGCCTATGGGGTTGCCTGGCGGAAAGCGCCCCACGGGGCCTGGTCCGCCGATGTACTGGTTCCGCATGGGTGTGGGCCCTACAGACTTATCAAAGTACTGGAGCGGCGCACCCAAGGGAGCTCCGCCTGGCGGGCCCGCGAACGGCCCTCCCCCACCCCCTGCCCCTCCCCCGCCCATCCCCATGGCGGCATGCGCCCCCCCGCCTGCGGCGCCGCCCCCGAGCATGTGAAACCCGCGCGTGATGTCCCCGTTGCCAAAGAACGAGGAGGACGGGGGGGAGATGGTGACGGGGCGGTGCAGCAGAGGGGGTTGCTGCCCGTGCAGGTGGTGCTGCTGCGGAAGGGGCATACCGGGCGCGGAGTGATGCGCGTGCGCGTGCGCGTGGTGGGGATGCGCGTGGTGCGGGTGCGCGTGAAGCTGCGCATGCGGGGGCGCGTGAGGGGGGACCAGGAGATGCGAAGCACCGGGGAAACCCCCCCCGGGGCCAATCATCCCCGGCGGGAAAAACTGCTGGTGCATCTTCCAAGGCGCAAACCCTAATTCCCCGCCATTCCCCCCGGCGCCACCAAAATCCCGCCCAATCCCGCCCATCTCCCCCATACCCCCCACTCCCCACATATCCTGCTGCCTTTCGCCTAAATAACGCTCCTGCGACCCGTGCGAGTCTATGTGCGATCCAGGATAGCGCGCGAGCGGTTGATTGTAGGCAAAGGACGAGAGCATGGGGCCTGCGCCGGGGTGCCTAGAGGGGTACGGCGCATGGTACGGATCCATTCCGCGCAACTCCGCCCCAGGGGGGAGCTCCGGCGAGCCCCCCTTGTTTTGCTCCCCCGCCTCCCCCGCCGCCGCCGCCGCCTGCTGCTGCTGCTGCACCTGCTGCTCGTTTTGCGCCTCTGCTCCCCCGCGCTCCTGCTTCTCCGCATCGCTTTCCGCTTCCACCGTCACTTGCCCCAACCCCGCGCCTTCTCCCGCCGACTTCCCTTCCCCTCGACTTGCGTTCCCCTGGCCATCCTCCAAGCTTCCAGCCTCCGCCCCCGCTTGATCCAATACCTCCTGCTTCACAGTTTCCGAGACTTCCGCCGTTGCGCCACCCACCTCCACTAACACCTGCCCTTCGGCCCTACCCGCTGCCGCGTCTGCCTTACCGCCAGCTGCCGCTGCCTCTGCCGCCTCTGCTGCAGCGTCTGCCCTATCCGAGTCTTCCCAGCTATCTGCCACCTGTTCCTGCTCCTTCTCCTTCTCCTGCTCCTGCTCCTCCTTCGAATCTCCCTCCCCGTCGCCTCCCCCCTCCGCTCGTCTCGCCTCCTCCTCCGCTCGTCTTCTCGCAATTCTATCTTCAAGCTCCTGCAGCTTCTTCCGCGCGTTTTCCTTCCGCCTCTCCTCCTCGTCCCGGATCCGCTGCTTCTCCTCCTGCACCTTCCGCCGCTCCTCCTCCAGCCTCCGCGCCGCGGCTTCCGCCTCCATCTGCGCGCGCAGTTCCGCCTCCCGTGCCTCCTGCTCCGCGCGCGCGCGCAGCTCTTCCTCCTCCCGCGCCTTCCGCACCATCTCCTCCTCCTGCTGCCGCGCCATCTCCATCGCCCGCTGCTCCTCCTCCTCCTTCCTCTGCTTCTCCTGCTCCTTCTGATTCTGAACCCTTTCTAGTTCCGCCTCGAACCTCTCCCGCTCCAAATCCCGAAATTCGCTGGCGGCGGCGGCGGCTTCCGCGTCCTCCTTCTTTTTCCGCGACAGCGCAAGGAGAGCCAAGCTAGGAGGCGGCTCCACGCCGACACGTGGCAGAGACTGGAACTCCGGCCGAGGCAATGACACGTCACCGAACACGTCACCTCCCATAAACCTTTCCCCACGCTCACGCGCCCCCCCCGGGCCGAACGACCGCGAATGCAGATCGCCACGCCCACCGCCAAACCCGCCACCGAATCCGCCGCCGAATCCGCCGCCAAATCCGCCTCCCCGCCCCGGAAATCCCGGGCCGAAGCGGTCGAAATCAGGCTGATACCCAGGACCTCCAACCCCACCACCCCCAACCCCACCGCCACGCCCCCCACGCCCCATACCCCCCCCTGGAGGCCCATCTATATACCCCCGTCCCCTGCCCATCTGCCCTGGGCCCATCGCACCTGGATTCATCGAACCTGGACCCATCGGGCCTGGCCCCATAGCGCCTGGATGCATCGAACCTGGACCCATCGGGCCAGGACCCATGTGCCCTGCACCCATACCATAAGGCGGCGGTCCGTCCCAGTTACCCGGTCCCCCAAACCCTCCTGCGTCCCGCCCACCCCTTTCGTCGAAGTACCCGCCGGGTCCCGGCCCTCTGGAATCAGCAGGACCCCTTGAGTCGCCATAATAACCGGGCGCGTTGCCCCTCGGACCAGGGCCACCGCGAGGAGGACCCGAATCTCGCTCGTCGTCGGCCCACATGCGACGGGGCGGCGACGGCAGGCGAAACGGATCCGGTCGCATGGGCCCTGCGAACGGATCCGGTCGCATAGGCCCGCCGTCGCCGGATCCGCGAGGGGGGAAATTCGGCTCCTCTTGTCTGTCTCGACTCAAAGAAGTTTTTCCAAGCGGCGCTCGATCGTCCTGCTCTTGATCAGGCTCGTCATCCGCCCAGCGCCCCATGCTTCCCATACCTCCCAGACCTCCCATAGCTCCCGTACCTCCCCTGCTGCTTCGACTGCCCCCGCTTTCTGGCCCCGCACCTGTCTCCTGCCCTGCGACGCTGCTTCGGCGACCGTTGTCGTGTTCCCCTGAAGCGTCCGTTTTATTGCCAGAGCTCCCCCCTGAGGGTACGGGCGGCTGGGGGCTCTTTCCCCGAGAGTGCTCCTTCGCCAGCACCTTCTTGGCAGTTTCGAGCGACGGGAAGTCCTCCCCGCTGATGATGGATGGCTCGTTCTGGCGCCCGGGAGGAGCAGATTTCGCGGAAGGTGCTGCAGTTGCCATTCCAATTCCGGATCTAGCTCCTGGGGGTTGATACACCCCCGGACGAGAGGCACGGGAAGCATCGCCGGAATCTGCTGCGGAAATCGCGGAAGATTGGAATCCGTGCTGTCCCGAAGCAGCATTGACGTCAGAGGGCGATGACGTGGACCCCAGTGGTTTGGTGGACGAGGAATCACTAGCGGGTCCGTCTGAAACGAGAACAGGTTTCTGCCAGCCCGATCCAATGCCCGTGGGTTGGACCAGGGACACGGATGGGTCGTTTCCTGCGTGCTCTCGCCGCAAAGACGGCAAGTTTACCGGTTTAGGAACGACTAGCCGTGACTTATGCGCAGATCCCATCGATGTTGACCCAGGTCCTGTTTTCCCCAAGACGACCATTCCACCAGAAGACGCAGATTTTCCGAACTTACCGCTGCCATGGCTGCTTCCGCTTTGTGATTGACTCGAGCTTTGCTTTCCGAAGGAGTTGTTAAGGTTAACGCTGGTGAACTTATTGCGATTGGCCATTCCCGGCTAAAAGCCGCGCGATAAGAAGAACGTGAAGCGACGGAAATCGACGACCGAATGTGAATCGCTATGGAGCTTGTAGAGCATGGCAAGAAGGGATACACTCTAAAACTGCACAAGAGCACTTATATGCTTATAACAGATGCGAGATGCGCATGGGATAGATACCCGTGTTCCGACTACCAGTCTGATCGGGAGAAACCCTAGAGCAGATCTGCCAGCAGAGGTACGAAAAAGGAGATGTTGGAGGTGGAGCAGATCTGGCTGGGAATCCAGATTCCAAAACAGGGAGGTCCCGTGGGGGTTGTGGAAGGACCTTGGGAGTGTCGTGGCGTGGGAATTCTGGAGCCAGGGAAGGGGGGGATGCTTGAAATGGTAGTGTAGTGTTGTGTTTACGGGAGGAAAATCAAATGGAGAGGGGTGGGACCTGGTGTGGGGGAAAGAAAAGGATGGTTCTGGAAGGATTCACGATGAGGCGAGCACACGCGAAACAGTTTGTTGTCGGCGTACTGCTGTTACAGCCTGCTGCGACGCTGAGTGAATATCTTAGGCGGGAAAGAGCTCATCATGGTGGGTGCTCCGATCTCTCGCCCCAACTGTCCAATAGCCAACCAGTATTTTACACATTCAGTGTGGGTGGTGGTCATCCACATTATAAAGGCCCCATCACTTCGGCTGAAACATGAATCATCACTCGTTGTCGAAGATTTCGACTTACAGTTTTTTCATAATCCCTAGCAATCTATCTACTTAGGAAATATGGCACTCCACATTACATGATGCACATGAAAAATGCTGGAATTCGAATATTTTTATAGTTAAAAAATGGTGATGCAAATTCCTTACAGAAATGGATGTTTTTTAAACCAGACCATTGTAAGCTCAGTGTCAAGCTGTAAGGGTTTAGTTGCTGGAACACCAACATAGAGTTCTTCTCTCTGTAGCGAAGCCCCGCCCTAATAGCCAACATAGGGCTTCGTTGGCGAAACCCCAACCACCAAGAGTGCATCGTTGTTGCGGTTGTTAGCAGTTCGCCTTAGGGCCTTTTCGCAGGGTCAGCTTCGAATCGCGGAAAAACGAGATGTGCCTCAAACGAAGGGTTTGGTCCTGGGCAGCGAGAGTGAGGTCCAAGTTTCAACCCACTTGACTGGACAACCAAGCGTGGCCGAAAACCAGAGTGAACAGTATTGTGGGCAGTTTCCAGGTCAAGAAAAATATGATTGTATTGAGGGCTGGGTGCCAGCAGTCAAGCCAATTACCCCGCACGAATACCCCGCGTCCTTCCTCGGGAACTGTTTTCTCGAGTTCTTTCTCGTCAACCCCCAGAGTCCCCTTCCTGACCTAACCTCTCAAAATCCAGCCTGTTGGAGAGGGACAGCTTGATGGTATTTCTTAGAGTTTGGAAAGTGGGTGGGTTGTGTTTTCCAGTAGGTTTGAGTTGCTTTGCGCCTTTTTTTCAGGTCGTAAGGAGGGCCTACTTGAGGATGGGAAAGGTGGACGACGATGGAGGATAGAACTAGCTTGTCTGGACCGAGAAACATGCAGGTTATGAACAATTAGGGTTGCGTTAAGTTATACTTTCCCGATCACGGAATAGCGTTTGGACAGAACTAAGCGTCGGGGACGAGTGTTCAATGGTGTAGAGAGGAACGGCAGGCGTCAATTAGCCTGTATTATTTATGTCGGTTAAGTTAGGTATTTCGGTGAAGTGAGATATTCGTGGTGAATCGTTTTTATTCCGGCATTGGCCGATCCATCCGAGCACACCGTTTACACCGTAACGTCTTACGTATTTCGCCACGCGCCACATACCACCTCGCGCATTTCGCCTCACGCATCTCGTTGAGGTTTCCGCTTAACAGTTACAGCTTTCTAAACGGGCCGCTAACAAGTTTCTACCTGGTTATTTCAAGTCACCGTCCCTGCAGGAGTGATCGTGTTGCTAAGACTAGCTTGCTTGAAAATAAAGTAGTTAGCTGGTAGGGAGGACGGTGCTACACGTATTATGAATAACGTCTCATAGTTCTCCTTCTCATTCTCCCCCTCGAACCGAGAGTGTACGGCCATGAATAACGGCGGTGAAGGTCTTCCCGGCGCGCCGGAGGTGAGTCAACCTTCGCGGATTGAGAGCAGCGTCATGTGTGGTTTGTTGACTTATTAGAAACTGAGGAAAGTGACGGTCACGGATCCCAGGAGGTGAGTCAACCTGCGCGGTCGGAGAGCTGCATAACGTGTGGGTGGTTGGTTAAGAAGGAAGTCGATTATTATGAAACATTTCAGAACGCAATTGACAAATTACTCCCACCCGGGTCGCCGGAGGTAATTTGCTGCTAGGTCGAGAGCGACATCACTTGCGGTTGGTTGTTTTGAAAAGTATACCTGCTGCTGGGGTTCTTGCTTTCCTTAGTAATCTCCTCTTCCCCTGTCCTCCCGCTCACTTTTCACCCCTTTCACCTTCCCATCCTGTTCCCCGTACGCCAGCCATGGGCGGACCACGAGTTGGAGAAGTGCATGAGCCAACTGTGGCGCTGGGGGGTCCCCCTTCACGCCTAATCCTCTCATCTTTCCCCGTCTTGCGCTTCCTTTTCCCCTCCTCCTTCCCGCCCGTGCGCCAGCCATGGGTGGAGCGCGAGCTGGAGAAGCGCATGGGGCAACTGCTACCGCTGGTGGAGGAGTCTTTCTCCGTTGCTTCCTCCCTGGCTAAGGTCCGTCGCTCCGTTAGTTTGTTTTAGTCCGTTGCTCCGTTAGTTCGTTTTGTTCTTGCCACTCCTTTGATTCTTTTCGCTCTGAAGTCTCTCAAGCGTACAATTCTCTCTTTTTTTTTCTTCCCCATTCCCACTTCCTACATGTTTGTCTTTTCTCCCCTGATGTTGACGTTTCCCCCCCAAAACAGCAGCAATTTGTGCAGGACCCAGCGGAGGATGCTCTGGTGGAAGCAGATGCATGTTTAAACTGTTCCGATATCCTCATGCATGAATACTTCCCCCATGTTGTTTTCCCCCCATGTTGTTTTCCCCCATGTTGTTTTCCCCCATGTTCATGTTCCCTCTCCCCCCTCCCCCCAAAACAGCAATTCGTGCAGGACCCAGCGGTGGATGCTCTGGCGGACGATGACGATACAGCCTATGCTGTTGAAGAGCTTGTAGCGGATCTCGCTTCTAAAGGTGAGACAACTTGTAACGGGGACGCAAGTCTGAATCTGCTTGTAGCGTGGATGAGAGACTGAATCTGCTTTTAGCGTGGATGCAAGGGCGAGTCTCCTTGTAACGCGGATACGAGGCCGAGTCTGCAACTAACGCGGAAGTTGTGGCGTGCCCTATCTCCTCCATCACCCCCCACTCTTCCCCCCTCCCTTGGACGTGCTCATGGCGACCGTGGACGGGCTGCTTTTGTGACGGCTCAAAAGTCACTTCTCTTGAGTTGACTCGAAAGTCGCCTCCATCACCCCCCCTCTTCCCCCCGCCCCCCCTCCCCCCCCTTGGACGTGCTCATGGCGGCCGTGGACGGGCACCTGGAGAACGAGGGCGAGGCGAGTGAGGGTGAGAGTTAGGGCGTCAGTGAGTTGAAGGCCTACTCACCCACCCACCCACCCACCCACCCACCCACCCACCCACCCACCCACCCACCCACCCACCCACCCACCCACCCGTCCTCTCCCCCCTCCCACCCCCTCACACCCCCTCTCCCACAGGCATCCCAGGTGCAGCGGATCTGGACGACGCGCTGCAGCAGTTTGGGTCGGAGCAGATCGCGGAGTCGGTGGTGGCTTACTTCGATGTGCTCATGGCGGCCGTAGATGGCCACCTCGAGAAAGAGGGCGAGGCGAGTGAGGGAGCGAGTGAGGGAGCGAGTGAGAGAGGGAGTGAGAGGGGGAGTGGGAGCGACGGGAGTTTCAGGAGGGGAAGGAGGGGTGCGGGGAGAGGTGGGGGAAGCGAGAGTGGGAGCCGGAGTGGGAATGGGAGTGAGAGTGAGGAAGGGAGTGTGATTGAGGGTCGCGAGGAGGAGGAGGAGGATTATGAGGGAAGAGGGGGGATGAGGGGGGGAGTAAGGGTTGGGATGGATGGGAATAGGCATGAGAGAGGGGACAGTAGAGGGAGTGAGTCGTGGGACGAGGAAGGGGAGGAGGGGGATAGCTATGGGGAGAGTGAGGAGGAGGACGAGAGGGGAGGAGGAGGAGGAAGGGGAGGAGGAGTAGGAGCAGGGGGAAGAGGAGTGAAAGGAGGAGGTGGGAGGATGGGAATGGATATTGATGATATGGATGAGGAGGGGAGGCTAGATGAAGAGGAGGGGGATATGGATGGTGATATGGAGGAGGGGTACGGGCAAGAGGAGGGGGGAGTGGGGAGGATGTGGGGGGAGGAGGATCGAGGGCTAGACGTAGTAGAGGAGGAGGATGAGGAGGAGTTGGAGGAGGATGAGAGAGAGGGGGAGGGTAGGGGTATGGGGAGGTTGCTGGGCGCTGGAAGAGTGAGTTTTAAAGAGGGAGGAGGGAAGGTGGTGTATGGAGGGGAGGAGGAGGGTGGGAGTGAGGTGGAGAGTGGGAGTGAGATGGGGAGTGGGAGCGAGAGGGGTGGTGTTAGCAGGGGGAATATGAGAGGCGGGAGGGTGGGGGAAGGTTCAGAAGGGGAGGTGGAAGAGGATGATATGTCGATGAGTGGTGGGGAGGAGAAGCAGATGGGTGTAGGAAGGGAGGGGTCTGGGGACTGGACAGAGGATGAAGAGATGAGGGAGGGGGAGGAAGGATTGAGCGGGAGTGATGTTGAGGGGGGAGTGGCTGGAGGACGGGTAGGGGGTGTGGGGATGAACGTTGGGGAAATGCATGGGAGTGGAATGGGTGAGTTAGGAGGGGAAAGGGGAGACTCGGATCAAGGCTCATTTGATGATGATGATGATGACGACGACGATATTCCCTTGGCCGAACCTGGAAGGGAGTATCATTCAGGTTCGGAAGAGAATGAGGAGGGGGAAGGGGAGGAGGGGGCACGAGGTGATGCTGGCAGTGTGATTATACACGATGGTATGAGCGCTGCTGGCTCGGCCCGAGGCTCTTTCCGGGGCTCACTCGCTGACTCGGGGTCTTTCCGAGGCTCGGTGGGAGGTTCGGCGCGAAGCGGGGCTGGGGCGTTCCAGGGTCCAGGCATGGGGTTTCCGGAGCAGGAGGAAGGGATATTTGATGACGATGATGATGATGATGACGATGACGAGGATATTCCGCTTGCCGAAGCTGGAGTTTCGGGAGATTATGGGTCAAGTTCGGACAGCGATGTGGTGCCGATTGCGCAGCCGGGAAGAGCACCGGACCTGGATGGGGAAGGCTTGGGGGATTCCCAAGGAGAAGAAGATTCGTTTGGGGAGGGGGATTCCCAAGGGATGAATTCTCAAGATGAGGGCTCTCAAGAGGGCGATTTTCAAGAGGGCGATTCGCAAGGGGAGAGTGATTCTCAGGATGACGCTGGGATGCCAGGAGAGGGTGGTTCTGTTACCCCTGACAGTCTATCAGGGTCCGGTGAAGAGGTAGAGGATGATGATGATGATGAGGATGACGATGATGATGACGATGATGATGATATTCCTATAGCCATGGTGAACCTGTCGAGTCAAAGCAACAACAGCAGCTTCGGTAGCTTGGGGGGCAGCGGCGGTGCTGGTGGTGGTGGTGCGGGTGGCAGTGGTAAGCACGATCTGCCACACATCCCAGCGGCAATCAAGGCTTTAAGATCGCAGCATTTCGACGTTCCCCACAAACCGCTTACCGGGTCCGGGGGGCTGGGCAGTCCGAGAGTTGCCGCCATCAGCCGCCCGGGCGCCGCTGGTTTTGTCCGTCCCATGCCGCCCGCTGCTGGCCGCGTCAACTCCTTCTCCGTCTTTTCCGAGCCGCCCCAGAAGCTGCCGACCAACCGGGTGAACTCGTTCTCTGGACACCGTTTGCAGGGGGACGGCGTGCCTCTAACCCCAACCCCGCCACCTCACCCGCACCCTCCCATGTCCGAACGAGACCGGCTACTAGCCGCACGAGTTAACTCGTTTCAGATGCGAGCGGTTAGCAGCAGTCCACGGGCGGCGGCAACAGCGAATAGAGTCAATTCCTTCTCGCATCCGGCTAGTGGGCTGGCTTCCCCCCATGCTATGGCAGCAGGGCGGGTGAATTCGTTTAATGTGGACAACCGACCAGGGACTGGGGGCGGTGCAGGCGGGATTCCGTCCTCTCCTCTGGCCAATCGGGTGAATTCGTTTAATGTGGACGCGAGGGGCGGGAGTGGGAGTGGGTTTGCTGCCTCGCCGCTTGCTAATCGGGTGAATTCGTTCCAGGGGGTGGGGGTGGGTATTAGGGGAGGGGGAGCGATGGGGATGGGTGAGACAGGGGTGGGGCATGGGCGAGGTTCGGTTGGATTCGGTGGTGGTAGGTTTGGGATGGGCATGGGAAGGGGGAGGGGAGCTGCTACTGGTGGTAGTGGCGGTTTTAAGGTTCCTTCCCAGGATTCGTTTGGAGAAGGGGAAATGGGAGATGAGGAAGAGGAGGATGAGGAGGAGGAGAAGGAAGGGAGAGGAATGGGGAAGGGTTATAGGGATGGGGACAAGGGGAGTGGTGGAAGTAGCAGGAGGGGCAGTGAGAGGAGTGAAGAGGAGGAGAATGATGCTTCATCAGCAGCAACGGAGGAAGGGGAGGGGAGCAGTGAGGGGGAGGAGATGAGCGAGGACGGGGAGGGAGATAGGGAGGAGGACGGGATGGGGAGAGGAAGAGGGAGGTTTGGAAAAGGAGGGGAAGAGAGTGGGAGTGGGAGTGAGAGTGAAGGGGAGAATCAAAGTGAGGGACAGAGCAGGAGTGGGAGCGAGAGGGAGAGTGGAAGTGACAGGTCTGAATCGGAAAACGAGGATTACGGGGAAGAAAGATCCGATTCTGCTTCTGCTGGTGCTGATTCTGTGGGTGTGGGCAGGGGGCGGGGGAGAGGGAGGGGGAGAGGGAGGGGGGTGGAGGGGGTGGGCGGGCGGGAAGGCAGGGGGAGGGGGCGCGGGCGGGGCGTGGGGAGGGGGAGGGGGAGGGGGGTAACACCCGCTGGGGACGATGGGGAGGGGGAGAGTGGAGGAGAGGAGGCAGGGGAAGGGGTGGGTAGAGGGAGGGGGAGGGGGAGAGGGAGGGGGAGGGGCAGAGGGTTGGAGGTAGAAAGCCCGGGAGCTGTGGGGAGAGGGAGGGGAAGGGGGCGGGGGAGAGGGGAGGGGTTGGAGGGGCGGGGGAGAGGGCGTGGGGAAGGGTTGGAGGGGAGAGGTCGGGGGGGAGGGTCGGGGGGAAGGGCCGGAGGGGCGAGGGAGGGGGAGGGGGAGAGCAGGAGAAGGGGGGTTGGCTGGAGGCCGAGGGCCTACAGGCAGAGGTCTGGGGAGGGGTGGGAGGGGGAGAGGAATAGGACGGGGCGGAAGAGGGGCCGATGGGGAATTAACTCTAGAAACAACTTCACCAGGAGCAGGAGCAGCAGGAGTAGGGAGGGGGCGCGGGCGGGGGACAGGAAGGGGCGTGACAGGCCGTGCGTTCATACACACAGATAGTGACCCGGGCTTAGACCGCGTGCCTGGAGGTTCCATGGAAATAGACGATGCTTTAGCCCAGTACGGCCGTGCGCCGACTCTCCCCATAATGAGACAAGCCAATGCCAGCCCAACGCAGCATGCGCCGCCGCCCCTGCCGGTTGCCCCGTCTCCTAGTGGCAGTGTGGGCGGTGCCAGGGGCGGGTCTAGCTTCCTTAAATCTACCTCCACCGGGTCTGCCTCCCCTGGGTCTGCTGGTCCGTCTCCTGCTGCCTCTCCTGCTGCAGCTGCAGGTGTAGCAGCAGCAGTGGGGGCTGTGGGGGCAGTGGCGGGAGTATCAATGTCTCCCAGGCCGTTTCCACCTACGAGGGATAGAAGGAGCGAGTCCGGAGGGGGAAGCGGTGGAGCAGGGTTAGGAACGGTGGTGGAGGAAGGGGCTGAAAGGGGAGTGGAGATGTGGACGGGTGAGGATGCGGCAGGGGCAAGGGGAGGGGCAGGGGTAGGAGGAGGGAGTGTGGGAGTGGGAGAGGAGGGGCCGAAGCGAGTGAGTGTGGGGGTAGGAGAGGAGGTGTTGGTTCCCCTTGTGCCCACTCCTCCAGGAGGAGCAAAGAAAAGCCCGTGGGGGAGCTTTGGACGAAGGAGCTTCAAGAGGGTTAGCAGCAGGCAGGAGGCGGATACAGAGGCAGAGGAAAATGGGGGGGGAGGAGGGGTGGCGGTGAAGGGAGGGGGGAAGGGTGTGGCTGGAGCGGGAGTGGTAACTGGCATGGGTGCTGTTGCTGCAGCTGCTGTTGCTGCTGTGGGAGCCGCAGGGTTCGAGGAGAAGGAAAAGGACGAGGGAATTGAGGGGAGGGAAGTGGGAGGAGGAAAGGGGGGAGGAGGAGAAATGGGATGCAGGGATGTAATGGCAGCTTCAGCTGTGGTTGATGATTTGAGTGATAGTGATGAGGAGGAGAGAAGGGAGAGGATGGAGGAAGAGGAGGAGCATGGGGATGAGAGGAGTGTGAGTGGAGGGGAGAGTGAGGGGTCTGGAGTGGGTGGCAAGAGGAAGCTGGGAGAAAGATTTGGGCGGCTGCCCGGATCTCCCGGGCAGTTTGGGCCAGGTGAATTGGACGAAGAGGTTGGTGCGTCCCCATCTCGCCGGACCAAGCTTCAGGATGGTTCCACAGCCGATCAGTGGCAGCTTCGGAAGCATGGCCAGGTTGGGGATGCAGGTCTGGTTACAGGCTCTGCAGCAGGCTCGGCAGCTGGTCTGGTGGAAGCAGCACCTTTGCAGAGCTTCGGAAGCGTTGACATGACAATGGGGGAGGCTGGGAGAGACGAGGAGAGAGTGAAGGAGGAAAGGGAAAGGGAGGAGGAGGGTGTTGGAGAGGAGGAAGGGGACACTGGTTCGGAAGGTTCAGGTCCGGAAGAAGGTGAAAAGGGTGAAGAGAGAGGGGAGGTTGGGGAGGGAGAAGAGGGAGGGCTGGAAGTTTCTTGCATAGATCGGGAGAAAGTTGGGGGAGAGGATGAGAGGGAGGAAGGGAGTGTGAGAGGGAGTGAGCGAGGAAGTGAGGGAGGGAGTGAGATGCACAGTGAATCCGAACAAGAGTCTGACCACAGGTCAGAAGGCTCGGCAGGAGGCCCGGATCATCACAGACGAGGCTCGGGAGACTGGACTGGTTCGGAACGAGGCTCGGAGCGAGGCTTGGGACACTGGTCTGGTTCGGATTATAATGAAGAGTATGATGAGGAGGGTAGGCCGATAAGTCGAGATGGTAGGAGGCCGATAAGCAGAGATGGGAGACCTGATAGCCGGGATGGGAGGCCTGACGAATATGATGAGGAGGGAAGACCGATAAGTAGGGATGGGAGGCCTGATAGCAGTTATGGGAGGGATGAGGATTATGACGAGGAGGGAAGACCGATAAGCAGAGATGGGAGGCCTGATAGCCGGGATGGGAGGTGGAGAAGGGGAGAGGAGAGGTGGGAGGGGGGGGAGAGGTACAGTGGTAGTGAAGATGGGAGTGAGGAAAGGAGTGAGAGGGGCGAGGAGGGGAGTGAGAGGGGGAGTGGGGAGGAAGGAGGCGAGTTGAGTGGGGAGGAGGGGGAGATAGAGGAAAGAGCGGACCAGGAGTGGAGGGAATGGGCTGCAAAGAGGGAATCAGACGAGGAGAGGGGCTCAGATGAGGAAAGGGGTTCAGCGAGTGAAAGGGGTTCGGAAGATGGAAGGGGATCGGAGGACGAAAGGGAAGCTAACGTTGCATTGGGGGCAGAGGAAGCTGGAGGTTTTGAGGAGGAAGGAGACGGGGAGCAGCGGAGGGGGTTGAGTGCGGTTGAGAGGGAGGATGGGGAGGACGGCGAGGAGAGAATGCGGAGCGAGGAGAGCAAGAGGATGGGGTTGATGGGGGGCCTGAGTGGCCGATTGGGTTCAGGTCTGGTGGGGCGAAGGGGATCAGGTCTGGTGGTAGATGTGGGTAGGCCAAATGATGAGGAGGATGAGGATGAGGAGGAGGATGATGAGGAGGGAGATGGTGGTGAGCATAGCGAGCGTAGCGATGATCATAGTGAGGCTCGGGATCATGAGGAGTGGTCAGGTTCGGACAGAGGCTCGGCGGAAGGTTCGGAGGGTCTCAGGCTTGGCAGCGACCGTGGTTCGGCGGGTGTTTTGACTCCAGAGCTTACACCTCAGGGAAGCTGGAGGGGTGATGACGTCACCCCCCTGGGCAGTTTCAGGGGTGATGATGCGTTAACTCCTCTGGGCAGCTGGGGGGGCGAAGGGGAACTTACCCCGGTTTGGAGGGGTAAAGGGGAAATTACCCCTCAAGGAAGCGGGGACTGGGGAGAAGAGGCAGAGAGGGAGAGGGAGGAAGAGGGGGAGGGGGTTTTGACACCTGTGTTAACCCCCCAGGGCAGTTGGAGGGGCGAAATGTCAGGGAGCGAGCGGGGGGAAGGGTCTGAAGGGGAAGGGTCTGTTATTGAGTTGACTCAGAGGGATGGGGCTTTAACACCTGAGTTATCTCCCCAGGGAAGCTGGAAAGACGAGGGGGAGAGAGAGGGGGGTTTGACGCCCGAGTTATCGCCACAGGGGAGTTGGAGGGGGGAGTTTTCAGGGAGTGGGAGGAGGGAAGGGTGGGACGGATTGGAGGGAGAGGAGGAGGGCAGGTACGAGGATGGGAGGGGGAGTGAGGAGGGAAGTGAGAGAGGGAGTGTGGTGTCTAGGGGTGGAGAAGAGGAGGAGAGGGAGAGGCAGTGGGAGAGTCTGAGGGATGGGGAGGAAGAGGAGGGGAGTGTGAGAGGAGAGGACGAGGAGATGGGGAGAGGGGAGAGTGAGGGGGAGCGTGACGGAGACAGTGAGGAGGAGGAGAGGGAGAGACAATGGGCCAAGATGCATGCTGGGAGTGAGGAGGGGAGTGAGGATGGGAGGGAGGAGGGGAGTGCGAGGGGGAGTGAGGAAATTGAGAGGGGGAGTGAGGGTGAGATGGAGGAGGGAATGGAATTGGAGGGAATTATGGGTGAGGGAAGTCAGAATGATGGGGAGGAAGTGGGAGATGAGGAGAGAGAGAGTGGAAGTGATGATGATGATGACGATGATGTGGTGGTTGCAGTGGCAGCAGCAGTGCCACCACCACCAGAAGAAGGGGATTCGAATAGGGACGAATATCAAGGCTCGGAAAGAGGCTTGGAGGGCAGCTCGGAATCCGGCTCGGAAGCAGGTTCGGAAAAAGAAAGAGGTTTGGGAGATGAGGGGAGGATGGAGAGCGACGAGGAGGCGGAGGAAGTGAGAGGTGTGGGCGGCGGGGGAGTGAGAGGAGAAGGGTTTGGGGAAGAGCAGGAACTTTATGAGCAAGAGGAAGGTCTGAGTGGGGATGAGAAGAGGGAAGAGGCGATGGGGGATGAGGATGGGGACAGGCCAAGGGAGCAACGGGGCAGTGGTGATGTTGAAGGTGGGGGTATGAGCGAGAGCGATGGGAGTGATAGTGACAACGATGTTGCTGTTGCTGTGGCCGCCCCTTCTGCTGTGGCCGCCGTTTCTGCTGGCCTTGTTGGGGTGGGGTTGGCAGTGGGAGCTTCTCTAGGAGAGGGTGGCGAGGGAGTGTATCCTGTGCAAGGCGATGCGTCAGTTGCTCTTATCGAGTCTGCTTTTGACGAGAATGGGCTTGGGAATCATGAGAGGGAGGAGCAGGAGGAGAGGGAGGAAGAGAAGGAGGGGCAGGAGGAGGAAAGGGAAGATAGGGAGCTTCAGGAGAAAGAGTGGAGAGAAGGTCATGAGGAGGAGGAGGAGGTTGATGGGGAGGAGTCCAGTAGTGAGCGGGACAGGGAGGAGGAAGAGGAGGAGGAGAGGGGAGTAAATGGAGTGGGCGGTGGTCTTATGATGGGGGGAAGTGAGGGAGGGGAGAGTGAGAGTGAGAGGGAAGTGAGTGAGGGAGAAGAGGTTGAGCGGGAGGAGAGAGAAGGGGAAGAGGATAAGGGAGAGGGGAGTGACAGGGAGGGGAGTGAGAGGGAGGAGAGTGAGGAGGAAGATAGTGATGGGGAGGTGAGGAGGGAGAGGCGACACAGGTACCATCAGAACCAGATGGTAGAAGATGAGGAGGAGGAAGAGGAGGTGGAAGAGGGTTACAAGGAAAGTGATTATAAGGAGGAGCGTTATAAAGAGTATGAGGAGGATAGCGAGGGGTATGGGAATAATGAGGAGGAAGAAGAGGAGGGCAGGTTAAATGATGATGATGATAAGCGGAGTGACGTATCTGGGGAGAGTGGAGAAGGGCTGTTTGAGGATGGGCGGAGGGATGAAGGGGAGAGTGAGGGGGAGAGTGAGGGGGAGGTTGAGGGGGAGGTTGAACGGGAGGAGAGTAGGGGGGAGGAGAGTGAGGGTGATGAGATGGATGTGGTTGAAGAGAGTGAGAGACGAGGAGCTGGAGGGATGGAGAGAGAGGAGGAGGAGATGGACGAGAGAGAGGAGAGAGAGGAGAGGGACTATGGAGACGAGAGAGATTATAAGGCGGAGGGTCAAGAGAGTGAAGATATTAAGAGTGAGGAGAGTGAGGGAGAAAGGGGCAGGGCGACAGAAGGTGATGAAGAGAAGGACGAGGAGGAGGTTGCGACTGGACAGGTTGATCCGGGGGAGGTGTTATTTGTGAAAGGGGGAGAGGGTAAGGCGGAGTCAGGTAGCGATGATGAGGGGGAGGCGGTATCTGTGAAGAAAACTGAGGAGGATTTGGAGGAGGAGGGGCGTTTGGTTGGTGGTAGGACTTCGGAACGGGTGTCAGAGGCAGGTGGTTCTGAGGAAGGTAGATCTGAGGATGGGGAAAATATATCAGAAGATGGGGAAGGTAGGTTTGAGGATGAGGAAGGAGAAGAAGCTTGGCAGGGAGAAGGAGAGAGAGTAGTTGGAGACGAGGAGAGGTTAGAAGGAGGAGAGGAGAGAGTGAGGGAGGAAGGAGAGAGTGGGGAGGACATGGAGGATATTGATAGTGAGGGAGGGGAGGAGAGCAGTGAGGGTGAGTGGGAAGGGAGAGGGGAAGAGTGGGAGGAGGACGAGGAGGAAAGAGAGGCGTTAGCAGCGGTTTCAGCAGCTTCGGCAGCAGCAGCTTCGGCAGCAGGTTTGGCAGCAGTGGCGGCTGCTGCTAAGGCAGCAGCAGGAAGGCACGGGGATGGGGATGAGAGGGAGGAGGAGGAGAGGGAGGGAGAAGTAGGGGAGGAAGTGGGTGGTAGTGCAGCAGAATGGGCTCTCTCTGAAGGGGAGGAGGAGAAAGAGGAGGATGAGGAGGAGATAGAGATGGAGGAGCGAGAGAGGGAGGATGCGGAGAGTGAAGTGGAGAGTGTAGATGAAGAAGTGGAACAAGGGGAGGAAGGAGGAGGTGAAGAGATGAGTGATTCAGAAGCAGAGGGAGAAGTGGAAGCAGAACGAACGGCTGGAACAGAAGGAGCAGAAGGAGCAGAGGGAGCAGAGGGAGCAGAGGAAGCAGATTTAGAAACTGATTCCTCTGGGGCCATTGCTCTCTCTACTCGCTCCCCTCGCAGCGCCAGCTGGAGCCCCCGCTCCCCCGATGAAGCTGGTCCCCCCCACAGTCCCCCATCGCCCCATCTAGGCACCGGAAGCTTAGGCTCCGCTGCTGCTGCCGCCGCCGCCGCCGCCGCCGCTGCTGATGCCGCTGCTGCTGGTGGTGCTGCTGGTGCTGCTGATGGTGCTGCTGCTGATGGTACTGGCATCACTGCTGGCGTTATAGCTGGTGGTGCTGATCCGTCTGGGTTCACCTTTGCCCCGCATAAGCCTTCTCCCCAAGTCTCACTCACCCTACCCGCCCACGGCCCCCATCCCCACCTCACCCTTTCCCCCCACGCCCCCCTCGCGCTCTCCCCCAGAGCCTCTCTGGCGCTCTCCCCGTGCCACCCCCCGTCCCCCCCGCCCCAGCGCCCCTCCCTGCTCTCCCCCATTTCCCCCCGGGCGCGCCTGGCCACGTATCGTGTGGCTGGGGAGGGTTTTGGGTTCGGTGTGGGGTGGAATGGGGAAGGTGGAGAGGAGGGGAGGAGGGCCGGGTGGGCTGCTGGTGAGAAGGTGGAGGAGGAGGGTGAGGAGGGAGAGGAGAGGGAGGAGAGGGGCGAGAGGGTGGGTGATGATGAGGAGGTGAGGGAGGAGATGTGGGATGTGGAGGGGGAGGAGGAGAAGGGGGAGGAGAGGGAGGAGGACAGAGAGGATGGGATGGAGAGGGGCGATGAGAGTGAGGAAGGAGGGGACGTGGAGGGGGAAGAAGAGGAAGAGGAGAGGGAAAGGGAGGCAGCAGAAGAGGAGGAAGGGGAGGAATGGATTGGAGATGGAAGGTCGGATGAGGGGATTGAAACGATGGTGGAGAGGGAGAGAGAGATGGAGGAGAGTGAAAGAGGAGAGAGTGAGATGGGGGGAAGTGCACGAGAGGAGAGTGAGAGGGGGGAGAGTGAGAGAGGCGAGGAAGATCTGGGAGAGAGTGATATAGAGGAGAGGGAGGATGGGGCGGAAGGGAGGGCGGAGGAGCGTGAATCAGGTGACGAGGCGAGATCAGCACTTGATTCAACGTTTACTGCTGCCACTGCCGCCGTTGCTGTGGCTGCTACTGCTGCCGTTGCAGGCACTGCTGCCTCTGCGGCTCCTGTCTTTGATGATGCTGGTTCTGAGAGAGATGACAGGGAGGGGGATGTTGAAGAGGAGGAGGAGGTAGAGGCGAGATCAGAGGAAGGGTCGGAGGTAGCACTAGATTCGACTGCTGCTGCTGCCACTGCCTCTGCTGTTTTGGATGATGATGTGTCTGAGAGAGATGAAAGAGAGGAGGATGTTGAAGAGGAGGATGAGTACGGAAAGAAAGTGAGGTATGGAGAGAGGGAGGAGGGTGAAAGCGAGGGAGAAGTGGGAGAGGAGGAAGAGGAAGAGGGAGCAGAGGAGGAAGAGGAGAAAGCGGAGGAGGAAGATGAGGAGGACGGGCGATCAGATTCTCTTTTGTCTCCAGCCCTCACTCCCCAACCTGACGCAGACTCGGCCGAACCTCCCCCTCACGCTCGGTCTGACATTGGCTCTGGTGGAAGGTCGGAAGGGGAGGGAGAGGTTTGGGAGGGGGAGGAAGATGGGAGAAGAGGGAGGAGGGAGTATGGTGAGGATGAGAGTGGTGGGGAGGACGATGAGGAACGGAGGGAGCGAAGGAGGGATCTGGATGAAGAGGAGGAAGAGGAAGAGAAGGAGAAAGATGAGGAAGGTGAAGAGGAGGAGGAGGAGGAGGAGGAGATTCGGGGTTCAGACAAGCGCTACGATTCTGATCAGCGTTACGACTCGGACCAGCGTTACGACTCCGACAGACGTAATGGATCGGGCAGACGTAACGAATCGGGCAGACGTAACGACGACTCCGAAGGGTGTTACGACTCTGACAGACGTAACGGCTCGGAGGAGGATCGTTACGACTCGGAAGAGCGCTACAGGTCGGATCGGCGATACAAGTCCGAGAAACAGTATGAGTCAGAACAGCAGTATGACTCCGAGAAACAATACGACTCGGAGAGACAATACGAATCAGAAACACAAGATGAGGGGGATAGGCGTGGGGAGAGAAGACGAGGAGAAGATAGGGGAGGGCTCAGGGGAGAGGATGGTTCTGGTGGGGAGGATGATGATGATAGGTATGAGCATGAGGTTGATAGGCGAGACGGGAGGGATGAGCAGGATGAGGAGCAGGATGAGGAGCAGGATGGATATAGGCGAAGGGAATATGACAGTGATGCGTTTGGCAGGAGTGAGAGGGAGGAGGAGGAGGACGAAGAGGAAGATGATGAGAAGGGAGAGAGTAGGCGGTATAGAGAGGAGACAGGCAGTGAGGGGAGTGAGAGAAGGTATGGCGAGAAGGGTAGGGAGGACGAGGAAGGGGAGGAGGGTGAGGAGGGAGAAGAGGGGAGAAAGGGAGAGGGGGACAGATGAGGGAGAGAAGGGAGAAGAGGGAGAGGAGGGTGAGGAGAGTGATGAGGAAAGAGAGGAGAGGAGGTGGAGGGATGGAGATGCTTCTGAGAGTGAGCTATCCCCGTCTGCTTCCACTGTGAGCGATGCGGTTCCTGTTGCTGCTGTGGCTGCTGGTGCTGCTGGTGCTCCTCTTGCTGGGGCTGTTGCTGCTGTTGTTGCTGGTGCTGCAGCTGGTTCGGAGGCTGCTGCTAAGATTGGAGAGGAGAGGGACAGAGATGGAGAGGATGAGGAGGATGAGGAAGAAGAGGAGCAGGAGGAAGAGGAAGAGGAAGAGGAAGAGGAGGAGGGGATTGAGGGCAAGGAGGAAGTCAGGAAAAGGGACGAGCAGGAGAAGGACGGTGGGGAGGAGGCAAGGGAGAGCAGGAGACCCGCTATGGAACCACTCCCAGAAGGCAAAGCTGTGCTTCTCTCAGGCTCTCTTGCTCCTGGAATGACAGGAGAGGTGGGCAGAAACGAGGAGGAGGAGGAGGAGGAGGAAGAGGAGGATAGTGACGATGATAGCGATGAAGCGCCGTTGGCGTTGGCTGCTGATCCGATAGCAGCTGAAGCTGTGGCGGAGGGACGGCGACTCGGAAAGCGCGAGCGGAGGGAGCGGCGGGCGCGGCAGCGGCAGCAGGAGATGGGGCAAGAGAGGTACGGTGGAGAGCGGTACGGAGGGCATGAGAGCGATTCCTCTGCCATGGAATGGCGGACGGAGGAGGAGGAGAGGAGGGCGCGAGGAGGGGTGCCAGCAGGAGTGCTGGTTCTGGGAGGGACGGTGGTGAAACTGACAGGGACCGGAGCAGGGGACGAGCCTTTGACGTCGGATGCAGGTGCAGGGGGGCTGGGAGCGGTTGGGGGAGGTAGAGCGGGGTTGGGTGCGGCTATGAGGGATGGAGTGCTGGTGGTTCCTGTGGTGGACGAAGAGGGAGGGCCAGGGAGGGCGGTGGGTGGGATGGGTGGTGACGGGGAGAACAAGTATAACCTTGACCCGCGCTTCCCAGAGCGGGAGGAGTTAGAGTCTCCTGCTGTGGTGATTGCGCCTGGCCCTGGAATGTTTGATATGGGAGCGGATGAGGCAGGTGGAGAGGTGGGGAGGAGGAGTGTGGGGAGTAAGGAGAGGAGGAGAGGGGCAGGGGGGAGGAAGGGGATACCAGTGAGAACAATGAGTGATGGACGGGGGATGGAGAGAGTGAGGGTGGGAGGGGACGAGGAGGAAGAGGAAGAGGAGGAGGAAGGGGAGGCAGGTGGAGAGGAAAGGAGAGGGGGGCGGTTGGGGGTAGAGGGAAGGGGGGAGTCAGGAGGAAGGGCACGTGGGATGGGGCTAGTCCCTTGGGATCCGGACCTGGTGCCTGGCGGTTTGATGCTAAGGGGACAGCAGAGCAGGAGGAGGAGGAAGAGGAGGAGGAAGAGGAGGAAGAGGAGGACGAGCAAGTGGGGATGGAGTCTATGCAACCACTGGGAGGGGGGTACAACGATTGTGATGCTGTTACGGATATCACGGCTGTAACATGCATGACCGATGCTACAGATGCAGACAGCCAAGTGCCCCTGGCGCAAGCTTATAAAGAGTACGACGCTGCTACCGATATCACAGGTATTACTGCTATGACTGAGGCAACAGATGCTGAGAGTCTGGTGCCTGTGGCTTCCCCTATCCGCATGCCTGTGGTGGCCGCTGCTGCTGTGGGTGCTGCTGCTGGCATTGCTGCTGGTGTTGGTGTGAGGGACGAGGAGGACGAGGAGGAAGAAGAGGAGGATGAGGAGGAGGAGGAGGATGAGGAGGATGAGGATGATGATGTTCCAGTAGCGGGTGCTATCCATTCAGTATTGGAACGTGGAAACTCTGTGAGCAAAAGTGCTCTTGACATCATTCCCGCTGCTATTCCCACAGAAGAGGAGGAGGAGGATGAGGAGGAGAGAAGAGAGGGAGAAGGGAGATACGGTGGGGAGGACGAGGAAGAAGGAGAGGAGGAAAGCTCGTATGAGAGAAGAAGAAAAGAGAAATATGATGATGAAGAGGAGGAGCAGGAGGAGCAGGAGGAGCAGGAGGAGGAGGAACAGGAGGAGCAGGAAAGGCAGGAGGAGGGAGAGACAGGAGGGTATGGCCCTCCTGCGCATGTGGCCCGGAGGTTTCCTCATTTTGAGAGTGAGGGGGGCTTGAGTGACCTCAACGCTCCTATTGCCATGCCTGCTCGCAGCGTTTCGAGGCGAGAAACGGAGGAGGAGGTTGCGGAGGAGGGAGAAAAGGGACGAGGAGAGAGAAATGGAGGAGAGAGAAATAGAAGAGGAGAGAGAAAGGGTAGAGGAGAGAGAGGGAGTAGAGGAGAGAGAAATGGAAGAGGAGAGAGAAAGGGAGGAGGAGAGAGAAAGGGTAGAGGAGAGCGAAAGGGAAGAGGAGAGAGAAACGGAAGAGGGGAGGCAATGGGAAGAAGAGGGAGAGGATCAAGCAGAAAGCGTGGGGGCAGATGAGGAGGTGGATGAGGAGAAGGAGAAGGAAGAGGAGGTAGAGGAGAGAGTGGAGAGAGAGGAGAGAGAGGAGAAGTCAGAGGAGGAGGAAGAGAAAGACGAGGAAGAAAACGAAGATGAAGGGGAGGAGGAATGGTCGTCAGACGAAGCAGGAGAGGACCGGGACTCGGTTGCTGAATCAATGCAGCTTGGGGGGGCACAAGGGGGAGCAGCACGAATGGATTCTTTGGAAAAAAGGTCTTCCAGCGGCAGGAAGCACCAGAGGAGTCTGAGTGAGGCTAGTGATGCTGATACGCCCCTGGCCATGCCGGTCGCAGTGGGAGGGGCGCGGCAGGGGGCAGGGGAGGATGGGGCGTCGGAGATAGGCGATGGGGAGGAGTCGGATATTGGCGTGCCGATCGCCATGCCTATGGGTCCTACACCGAAAAGACGAGCGGAGGGCGCAAGGCGTGGTGGTGTTGGTGCTGGTGGTGGCAGTGGTGGTGGAGAGGAGGAGGAAGAGGAGGGAGAGGATGGGGAAGGGAGAGGGGGGCGTGCAATGGATGAGGAGAGTGAGCTGGACGCTCCCATTGCAATGCCGTTAGCCATGAGAGGAGCAGGCGGGAGCAGGAGGACCAGCGGCGACAGCAGCGGTGGCGGGAGTGGAGGCATTGGGATGGGGCATGGCGGTTGGTCGGGCAGTGGTGTTGCCGATGCCATCCGGGCCGGTGTGATAGATGATGATGGGATGAGCGTTATGTCTAGCGAGCTTGGCGCGCCTATCGCCATGCCTGTCGACGACAGCTTCGGCAGGACGCCCGGGGCTACGGACGAGGCTCGGCGGCAAGCGCCGAACCAAGGGTACGCTCTGCTTTCTCGCCACATGCCTCCTGTCGCTTCCACCAATTCCACCCCACGCAAGCCAAAGCACCATCCGAACCAGAGTCAGCAGCAGCAGCACAGTCAGCAGCAGTCTTACCAGCAGCACTCTAAGGAGTTTCCGCTTCCGCCGCAGCAGCAGCAGCAGCAACACCCAGAGTCTCAGAGGCATCTAGCCTCCCATGTTCAAACCCCGTCATCTCTTGGCGTCTCCCCTTCCTTTGGCCGTCACAGGGCTCCGGCGCAGGTTCGGGCTCTAGCTGCGGAAGGCCTCCGAAGCGGAGGACCAGGTTCGTCCCATTCCTCCCCGAGGGGTGCAGGGCCGGGATCGAGAGCCTCGTCAGCAGCAGGATCCCCGAGGGAGAGAGGGAGACTGGAGAGCCAACGCTCGTCTTCTTTCAAAGTTCCTGTTCGGTATGTTTCATCAACCCCTCTCACTCTCCAACTCTCTCTCATGCACTCTTTATCACCCCCTCCCTCTTCCACCCATCTTTCTCTTGGTTCTTTTGCGTCTGTACCTTAATATTGTGACCTAAGCCTGTGTGCTTCCATTCACCTCACTTCTTTCCCTTTACTCCCTCAGTGTCTCAAATCCTTACGCTCTGGTCTGGAACTTTCTGTTGTGCCCCTCCACCGCTCCACACCCACCTCCACCTCGCAGAACCTCGAGCCTGCACTCCGAAGCAGCAGCGCAGGTTCGGCACAGCCCTGGGAAGGACACAGACACATCAGCAGACGGCGCACAGGTGGCGCGTGGCGGGTCCTTATCCAGTCGCCAGGCTGGCAGCCACGCTGGCAGCCAGGCTGGCAGCCGACCGGGGAGCTTAGCTGGCAGTCCTAACAGCAGCGGGCGTCTTGCTTCTGGTGCTGCTGCTGGTGCTGGTGGTGGTGGTGGTAGTGGGAGGGTGGCAGCAGGAGCAAGCAGCCTCGGGCCTGGCAGTGGTGCTTCTACCCCAACAGCTGGTTTCTTAGGTGCTGCTGGTTCGCCTTCTGCTGCTGCAACATCTGCTTCGGTCACTCCTCATTCTGTCACACCGCTCTCAGTCACACCCAATGGCGAGGGTGCTGCTTTTGATGCTCCCGAGCCTGCAACACCAGTCGCGCAACCTTATCCCGAACCTCCAACTCCCATAGCCCAACCTGCCGCGTCTTATCCCGAGCCTCAAACTCCCATTGCCCAACCTGCCAACGACTTTCCCGAACCACCCACCCCTGTTGCTCAACCTGCCCAGCCTTACGCCGAACCTCAAACACCCATCGCCCAACCTGCCGAGCCTTATGCTGACGAGCCTCCAACTCCCATCGCCCAACCTGCTGAGGCTTATGACGAGCCTCCGACGCCGATCGCGAAACCTGTCTCCCCACCCAAGCCTGCTCCTGCTCCCGAACCTGCTCCCGAGCCTGCTCCTAAACCTGCTCCTGCTCCCGTTAAAGCTCCTGCTCCTGTTGCTGCTTCTAGTTCGACTGGGATATCTGCTTCAGCTGCTGAATGTGCTGCCAGTGACGCAGAGAGTGGGAGATTGTGGGAAGACGATGCAGCAGGGGCTAAGCGGCTGGCTGCTGCTGCTGGTGCTGGGAAGAAGAAAAAGAAGAAGTCCAAGTGGTTCATGTGCTTCGGTCCCCCGTCTGCTGTTGACGACTAGTGGTTTAACACAGGGTGAAGTACAGCGGTTGAGTGGAGATGACTCAAAGAGGGCAAGCGGAAAAAAAGAAAGGCCATAGGATTCTGGACGTCTTCAATTTGGGCTGAATGAAAAGCCGTTGACCAGGTAAATGAGCCTGCCTACCCCTTCAAGTAATGCCTACTGTATCTTCCAGCATACTGTAGTAATCACCATCCAGTATAGGATGGCTTCTGCTAACTTCTAGCTTTTGTTTTTTTACACTCGTACAGGTTGCTACTATGTACCCTATGCCTATTTTGGTTAGAGTGAGTACTACCGTAGTTAGGAGGGCTCTTCTGGGATGTTATCTATTTAGTGCCTAACTGTTGAAGTTTCTATTGAGGGTTTTACTGTGGTTTAGTCTCATTAATTTCATAAAGGAGGTCGGAGTTTGATTTCGCGTACCAGCTGGTGTACCCGCTAGTGAGTACTTCGACGCTGTCGCACGATAGTGTGTGTATATGGCAAATGGAGGGCGATTTGAGCTGAATTAGAACCATATCAGTTCTCGAAAACGACAATGACTAGCGGAGGGTACTGACGACAATGTCAGCAATAAGGTACACGTGTGATGTGATGTGAAGATCCTAAAAACTGAGCACCCATGCGTTATCACAACCACTCAGCATGCCAAGCATCAGGGATGCAAACACACGAATTTATTCAAAGCTTTCAATGAAGGACTCGCATCAGTAAGAGCATCTGTGTGCTGTCGCCTCTAAGAAAACACTGCAGTGTTGAGGAGCGACGTGAGCATGCCGAGCACCAAGAAAGCGAGCATGGGACTCAGATCCAGCGCTCCGAAGAACGGAGGCTGCATGGGTTTGCAAGGGTGGGGTGGGGTGGGGGGTACACAGGGAAATGTATTAGAACAAGAGAGAAGCGATGAGAAAGCAGGAGAGATGTGAGCATGCCGAGCACCAGGATCGCGAGCATGGGACGAGATCCAGAGCTCCGAAGAACAGAGCCTGCATTGGGGGCGAGAGAGCGTGTCGGGGAGATGGGGGGAGGTATATATGGAAATGTATCAAAATAGAAGAGAGGCGACGTGAGCATGCCGAGAACGGGGAACGCGACCATGGGACGCAGATTCAGAGCTCCGGAGAAAGGAGGCTGCACACACTTCGGGGTGGGAGGGAAGGGAGAGAGGGAGGGAAGACGAGGGGAGGGAGAGGAGGGGGATGTGGACCAATAAGGGCGGGTGGGTGGAGGGGGGATGGCGGAAAATGCAAGGGAGCGAAAGAGAAGCACGGGAATGGGAAGTGACAAAAATTGCGGGCACGGGGCTGACATATCCCGCAAAACAGACGGAATACAGGCGAGAACGGTAGGGGTATGTTCTGGTGGACCCAAAGGAGGTTGTGATGAGAGCACAATAAATAACTCGTCAAAACGGGTTACGGGGGCTAGGACAAGACTAGGACTTGTTCAAGCATAAGGGATGATTTTTGAGTGGCGGACTCGGCACAGCTGGTACAGTGGCAATGTTATTGCCATGATGCATTTTCCTCCACAAGCTGGGCAACTGTAACTGCATATGCAACGCAAGCACTCCGCAAAATCCGAAGCGCATGGATTGCGAGAGTGCGAATACTGCGGGAGTCTGATCAACAGGGAGGATTCGTTTGTACCGGGATTTAAGTGCCAGCATTGTCAAAACTGTTCATTTATCAATTTCCCTTTCAACCAGCGTACTACTCACCAGAATGTTGCGGAAGAGGTTCAAGTAAGGATCGCTCATATCGCGGATGGCTTGCATCGGCTGCCGCTCCCAGTCGATGTTCGGGAACCACGACAGCAGCACGCGAACCAGCAGCAGCCCACTGTACAGCTCCAACCACTTCGCCATGCCGCTCGCAATCACCGTCAGCGGCGTGCTGGTGCTTGCGTTTGATTGGCTGATCGCTGCGAAAAACAGGGGCGCGGCGCACGCCGCTAGCCGTTTCCCGGAGGCGATCATAGATGTCGCGCGGCCCGTGAGGGTGTCCAATTGGAGCTGCTCGGCGGCGGACAGCGGCGCGAAGAGCCGTCGCAGCGGCTCGAGGACTGCGCGTGCGACGGCCGCTGCTGTCGCCGAAGCGGCTGCGACTGCTGCGATAACAAGAGCCGCCGGGGGTGGGGGCGCGGAGGGCTGCGCGGCGGCTTGCGCGGAAGCGGAGGCGGAAGCGCGGATCGACAGCTGGGCGCGGGATCGGAGAGCAGGAAGGGCGGCTGTTCGTTGTGGCGAAAAGACGGAGATCGCCGCTAGTCTGTGCGACGGTAGGTGGGTCGCACGGCAGGGGACGACGGCCGGGCTTGCCGCTTGTGTCGCTGCTCCGGTCGCATGCGACGGCTGCGACAACTTCGCTACGGTGAGCGAGGCTTTGAGGTGAAGCCCTATGGCTGCCATGGCGCCGATTCAACTGAGACGAGGAACTTCAAATATTGGAACAGAACGTGCCACGTACTCTCAGCTAACCTTTGCCAGGAACGTTATTACTAGCAGGTGACCAGCCGACGAGCTTGCCGCTTTGGGATGGGAATGAGAAAACGAAAAATGATGGTGAGTGTCAACCGAGATCATAGAACCTATCAGCTGTGGGTGGAGGTATGCGAAAGGGAGCTTGGTGCCGGCGAATTCAGATCACTCTCACGAAAATCCTAACGAATCAGCAACTCTGGTTAGCGACGTGTGAAGGCTTTCGCGAAATGCACCTCAAGCCTTACTGGTTGAAGGGATTGGATGAGGTTCCAGAACTTTTTGAGAGCATGAGCTGCTGACACGTGCCATGACGACCTGTCCACGTCAGCCTCGGTCTTTGGGAAAAATCCGAAAG